CTGGTGAAATGTTAGAAGCAACTTGGGAACATATAGCTACTAACTTAGTTAATACAGAAGATTTAAATTTAGTTTCTATGATAAAGCATATTATAAAAGAACAAAATATTAATATGTCTATAAATGCAACTGTAATAACTGGTAGAGATACTAGAAAAAGTAGTCCAGCATTATTAAATGCTGCTATTACAGGAATTCAAGCTTTAAATGGAATTGTAAAAGATTTTGGTATAGTTACAACTCCTCAATTGCATTATCTAGTTGTATGTACAAATACAGATGGTAGTTATGGTATGCCTACATTACATGGTTACTATGTAAAATTATCAGAAGCATTTAAACATATAAGAAAAGATAAAATTAATAATGGGGAATATATCGCAGAATTATTATTAGATGCTGCTAATGGTGTTGGAGCTATTGCTACAAAAGAATTTCAAACTTATTTAGGAAAAACAATTGCAATTAATATGTATAATGATGGAAATGGAAAATTAAATTATATGGTATATCTTATTTTTATAATACATTCATTGAAATTAGACATTATAATAAGTTATTTAAATAATTTATTGTAGTGTGGAGCTGATTATGTCAAAGTGCATCAAGCACCACCGGTAAATATTCCTATTAAACCAAATGTTAGATGTGTATCTATAGATGGTGATGCAGACAGAATAATTTATTTTTATCTGGATAAAAATGATAAATTTCATCTTTTGGATGGTGATCGAATAGCAACACTTATTGCCACATATCTTAAAGAACTTTTGCAAGAAAGTTGTTTATCATTTCAAATTGGCTTAGTACAAACAGCATATGCCAATGGTGCTTCTACTGATTACATTTCAAATGTATTGGTGTGTATATTTCATGTTTTATCATTTATTTTAAAATTATTTTAAAATTTTATAATAATTAATATTTTTTACATAATATAAATATAAATTTATTATTGTTATATATAATATTAAATTTATATTTATTTTTACAATTTTTTGTTTAGCAAATTCCAGTTTCTTGTGTACCAACTGGTATTAAGTATCTACACAATAAAGCATTAGAATTTGATATAGGAATATATTTTGAAGCAAATGGTCATGGGACAGTACTTTTTAAAGAAACTACTATTGAAGCAATTAAGAAAGCTATTATAAATTCAAAGTAAGTCGTATTAAATTTTTCCTTTTGCATTAAAAAAATATATATGTATATATTATAGACGATCTATAAAAGAGAAAGCAGCTGCCTCTAAATTAGAAAATATAATAGATATAATTAATCAGACAGTTGGAGATGCTCTTAGTGATTTGTTATTAGTAGAAACAATTTTGCATGCAAAAGGTTGGAATATTATGGAATGGGAAAAAATGTATACAGATTTACCAAATAAACAATTAATGATAAAAGTTAATGATAAAAATGTTATAACAACAACTAATGCAGGAAGACAATGTTTAACACCTGAAGGATTACAAGACGAAATTGATAAAGTAATATTACGATATAAAAGAGGACGATCTTTTGTAAGGTAATATATATAATTTTTATTATAATCATATAAACAATATTCAAAAAAATTTCTAATAAAACTGATTTAAATATATTATTATTCATGATAAATATTATTCTTAGTAAATATTTATTATTAATTTTTTATTTTTATATGATTATTATAATTAAACTTTCAATATCTTTATATATATAAGTTTCAATGATCTTATGTAAAAGATTCAAATATTCAAATAATAATAATTACGACAAAGAATTCATATTTTATTAATTATAAAAATTTTTATTTTTAGACCATCAGGAACTGAAGATGTAGTACGAATATATGCAGAATGTGAAAATTTATACGACCTTAATAAATTAATTATTGATGTGGCATCGTTAGTATACAAACATGCAGGTGGGATTGGACCTAAACCTGAACTTTAATAATAAATAATTTTATATTGTTTACAATATAAAAATAACATTTATATTAACATTTAATTTTTATATGTAATTATAATTTTTATAAATTTACAGAATCTTTACAAAAATGTCTTTTATTAATTTATTAAAAATTACTATATTTTTTATAAAGAAACATTATATAATAAACAATGAATATTCGTAAAGTACAAATATGAAAATTAAAATCATATATACTATATATAAAAAATATATGTATATAAAAACCAATTATTTTTTATTTTTTTTTTATCTATTCTTATTAATGTAATAAAATATAATTTATAATCATATTAATACCTATATAATAATGTAATTTTTTACTTTTATATTTCTCTTGCAAAAATAAATATTTTTATTACTAATTTTATTGTAGAGTTTCTTTATAATACAATAAATAATATAATTAATATATAATATATTATATATTTTTAATATAAATAAATTAAAAAAAATTAATTATGGTAATTATTATCTATGAATAATATAATTTTATTTTGGAAAAATTTCACAAAGTATTAAGAAAAGAATTTAAAAGTTATATAAATAAATGGATATATGAATATTTTATAATTATAAATATGATTAGTAGTTGAATAAGTATTAAAAACATTTAGATAAGTATTTACTTAGATGATATAGTTTAATAAAAATATATAAAAATATAATAATTTATTGAAAATTTGAAAGATTCTGTTGCATAAATAAGATTATGTTAATAAGCATTATTCTTTTTAGAAAATAAAAAAAAAAAATCTTCTAATTTCTAATAAATCTTCAGTATTACTTAAAACTTATTTTTTTATTTAAGATTTTTTTTATTTTAATTCTATCATCTAATCCCACTTTGTATGTATACACTATATTAATATATTCATAGAACATTTTAGGAGAATTGATTTTAAAGATTAAAACAAATATAAAAATTGAATTTAAAAATACCGATTGATTGCTTATCTTTTAAATTATTTATCTATTAATTATGATCAAAAAAATTTAGTTATTGAAATCAGATAAAAATAGAATAAAACAATTCTATTCCTGACATATTATCTTCTTCTATCTCAATCACGATTTAAATTGCTAATAATTTAATTTAATAATATATAAATAATAAGAAAGTAAAATCATTTCTCAATTGATATTTTTATATAGCAACTTTTTTATTTGTTCTAATTTCTAAAACCTCCAAGAATATTCCACGAATATATTAATATACATTAACCTTAGCTTTATTTTAATCTCAATTTCATTTAATATTTTTTGTAAAATATTTATCTTTATTTTTTTTAGTGAAAGAAATTATGTATTAAATATTAAATATAAAAATATTATTTGTTAATATATAAAATTTATAAATATGAACAATCTAGAAAAACTTTCTTTCTATTTAAACTTTATTTATTCAATTATATGCAAAGCATACATAATAATAAATACATTAATCAAATATGATTATATTAGATAAAATTTATATATTTTATTAAGTTCGAATGCTATTTTTATGTAATAAATAATTATTTTTAAGAATTATTTTTCTTATTAGGAATATTTTATCATATCTGTTTAAAAACATTTTGTTTTAATAATCTTAAATAAATTATTTCTCTAAATTAAAAAGTTAAATTTAAATAAAAAAAAAATTTTTAAATAAAAATTAATTTTTTATATTTAGAAAGTAAAATCATTTCTTCAATTAAAAATAATATAATAATTAATTATAGAAATAATAGATTTTAAAGAAATAATCTATGATGTATTTAATTATTACATGTTACATTTTTACATGTTTAGCATGTATTATCAAAATAAAAATTCTTTTTTCTTCATTTATTTGCATCCTTTTTGTTTTAATGTTGTTGTAAGTATTTTCCTTGAGAGAATAAATCCATCGATTTGAGTACAGGATTGGCTTCTTCATATAATTAGGATTTATACCTCCAATCTGAGTTCATCTCAATATCCAGTGTCTCGTCATCCAGCTTGTAATCTATCAAAAAGATTATATTATTTGATGCATAATACATTTTTGAAGCTCACATAAATATGAGCATACATATCATCATGAAGTCTTAAACTAAATAAATTTTTTTTATTTATATTTATTCTTTGATATATTTTTCATTATATTCGCATTAATTTAGTCCTAATTCCATCCACGTTATATTGATTATAAATATGAAATAGTAAATGTTCACTGCGATAATTTCTATATTCAATTTTAATTTTTTAAAAAATTATATATTGTAATTTATTAATAATTAATAATTGATTAAGAATCTGTGGCAAATAATAATATATTATTGAGTCAATTCAAATATAATTTAAAATAAAATGTTTTACTGAAAATATATAGATTAATGAAGAATATAACAGCCAATAATTTCTTTTATGTATGTATATATGATATTTTTGTTATTTATTTTATCGATTTAAAAACATGTTGAAAAAATTAAAAATTAATAGAGAAATATAAAAAAAAATAAAAAATTTATTGATATAAAGTTTTCGAGACAAAACACGCATTCGGATGCGTGTATAAAATAAGTTTGATTCGTGCCACGTATGACAACATATTATTGATATAAATAAAAAAAATAATCGATAATTTGCTAACAGATGGAATTAGAATTAACGCGTATTAAATGCTAAAAGCATTCGCCATCGCAGCATCTTCGCAACGGTATTATAATCGACGATTGCAGGAACATTTTTTTCGTAGTTTTTTATTGTAAATTTTCAGCGTCGCAATAACCGATAATTGACACAATACGCGCAATAAGCGCGTTCTGTTTTCACTTTTTTTCATTATCATTAT